ACAAAGCAACTCTCCATAAACTTAAAAACAAAATACTACAAAACATCTTCTCAGATCACAATGCTATAAAATTAGAAATCAACAAAAGGAAAATCAAGGAAATGAAATCAAATACATGGAAACTGAATAACACTTCACCTGGTAGCGTAGTGGTTATGAATCGGGCTGAGAACCGCAAAGTCAGCAGTTCGAAACTACCAGCTGCTCCGCGGGAGAAAGATGAGGCTTTCTGCTCCTGTTAAGATTTACAGCCTCGGAAACTCTGTACAGGGTCGTTATGAGTCAGAATCGACTCCATGGCACATAACAACATCAATAACAACAACAACTTAGGAACGACTGGGTACCAGAACAAATAAAAAGTGAAATTAAAAAATTCTTAAAGACAAATGAGAATGAAAATTCAGCATAGCAAAAGCAGTGCTGGGAGGACGATTTATTGCAAAAAATGCACACATCCAGAAAAGAAGAAAAAAAATCAACATCAACATATCAACACACATCTACAACAATTAGAGAAAAGACCAGCAAAGTAAACCTATATTCACCAGAAGCAAAGAATTAATAAAAATTATTAAAGCAGAAATAAATGCAATTGAATACAGAAAACATTAACAAGGCAAGAAGTTGGGTCTATAAAAAGATGAATAAAATTGACAAACCATTGGCAAATCAAACAAAATAAAAGAAGAAGAAACAACACACAAAAAAAACACGCATAGGAAACCACATGACTGACATCACAACAAAACCACAGAACAAATGGAAATAAAAAGGATAATAACAGAATAGTATTAAAAGTTGTACTCAAACAAATTGAAAATCTGGAAGAAAAATGAAATCATTTTTAAAAAAGCACTACCTACCTAAAGTTACACAGAGTGAAGTAGAAAACCTGAACAGATTTATGGAGGGTGGGATAGCCAAATTTTGTCTTTTATACTTCTTACATATTGTCAGGAGGGAACAGTTGCTGGAGAAGGATATCATGCTTGGTAAGGTGGAGGGTCAGAGTAAAAGAGGAAGACCCACAGTGAGATGGGCTGGCAAAGTGGCAACATCAAC